TATCACAAACTTGGTACATAAGTGTTCTGGGATAGACGATATATGTTAGAGTAAAACTTTGTTCTTACTAATTACCCAATTTGCATAAATTATCCAATTTTCTGGATAACCGAAGATTAAGGTTAAAGTCTATGTATATTTGTTACAAATTACTAATTACCATTGATAAACATTTCTTTTATATAAAAAATGACTATGTTTGGTTTGTGAATAATTGGGAGCCAGTCCAGTTCGAAACAGGAAATGCAAATTATTTGAAAATTCTGGTCAAAACAAACAACGACGTGCATATTGGTCTATCAGCACAACAACACGATTTAGCAACAATGTTCGAAATAGTAATACACCCAACATTCTGTCGCCATCTGATGTCATAGGAGTATGGGTGACATGGTATAATTGAAATGACAATACATTACATTGGGTATTACACTAGCTGGGGGAAGTGAAGCAAGGTTTAAATCCTGCATTGAATATGGTAAGTTTTGGTTTTTATAAAACTCTTGTTTGTATTTGAAGCTTATAATAAATTATGTATCTAAAATTTTATGTTTGGTCAAGCAACCTTTTTATAATATAGAAACGTTTCGATATCGTATGTATTTGTGCCCAGAGTCAATATCAAATGATTGAGTATTAAGTTTCTGTTTTAAATATCTCTTTATATGTCACCACGTCAAGTGTTAAATTTGTATAATTAAAGTACTTTCAGTTAAAAAAAACAATGGCATCGTTTTTTACAAGCCACGTAGATAAGGCTAAACGGACCTTTGAGACCTCTTTTCTGTGATTAATATGCTGGATTTGGTTTATTAGAAGTGCACAGGATTTTATTTACTCACGTTACACTGTACTAGCACTGCTTTATTATTACTCATGATTGTCAAATATAACAACGACTAGCTTAAAGGCGATGTCCAGCATTATAATACCCTGAAGAAACCAACCAATGAATCATACACTACTTACCCTTAAAAATGCTTAGCAACTGATTTCCCACCAAAGAACACAAAATGATATAAACGTACGGGAAAGGTAATATGTTCATGGATACGTAACAGGCAAATATATGAAAATAACAGCGAGTTACCCCCCCCCCCATGAAAAACTGAGCAACATTTTTGTGTCTGTTTGTCAGTCCTAGATTCATATTAATTGTGATAGAAAACTAAATTTTCAAAAAAAAACCTTTACTGTAACATTCAACTACTTGACCGAAATCATGAATGAAGGTATCTACTTTATATTCATTACAATAAATTGTAGAAGTGTATGTTGAATGGTCGAAGGAGGGAGGAAGACAATTTTAAAGTGGATAAGACGCTCGCATAGAGTTTGTGCACTGTCAATTTCTATATTATGAACGCATAATACCTATATGTTTAAATGTATATTATCTGTGAACATATTCATAAAGTACAGATTTAAAAAAAAGTGGTGCTTTCTCTATTTGCTAAAATCAAATTGACGACTTGGATTTTTTAGTTTTCGGGAATATAAGTAAGAATGTAGCCCTGTATTTTCTGAAATGTCGTCCGATTTCAGAATTCCAAGTCACTACATGTTTGGTCTGTTCATATATTATGTTATCTCTGTGTATCAAAAATCCTAAAAATTGTAAGATACAAATAAGTAATTTTACTGTTTCACTAGATTTATCAGACGTATAGATAGACAACCGCACGCACATGACAAAGTATAATATCAATTCTTACAATTACTATTTTATCGATTGTATTCACTCAGGTTGGAGGTAAACCGCATCGTGATGGTAACTTTACACGGAATTTTCGTCTGTAATTTCTAGCGGACATAATATCGTCGCAAGACTAACTAACTCCAAATTATCCGTTGTTTGGAACGGTAAACCTCACATAGTGAAAGTAATGTTACTTGATATAGAATTACCTGGTAACGTTTGTGGGTTGCTCGGTTACGCAGATGGAGATATTACTAATGACTTTATTAAACCCGATGGCGATATAGCTACCAGTGCCGAGGAGTGTAGAAACAACAGCGCTGTACACCACAGTTAATGCATTTCAATGAACATAAATTGAATGTAAGTCGAGTCAGACTGTTCGTTTAGAGAAATGTTCAGCAGGAGGTAGGTCTTTTACATATACAATCGCCTGTGATATCATATTTTATGTTTTAATATGATAATAATGGTGTACAATTCAAAATTGATGCTTATATTGTTTTCAATTTTTTAGCTGCCCACAAGGAATAATACGCAGATAGTACTACATTGTAATATAATGCAGCTATTCTTGGAATGCTGAATCTCCAAAACGTTAACACTTTTAAGATTTGCTAGGTGATTTGATGAGGTTATCGCTTTTTGCTTGATTTTCTGACTATAAAACTGACCTAGTTTCAATTGATAAGATAACATATTTAGTGTATTGTATGTTACATATCAAATATTGTATATACAAAGTGGACTCACATGTTCATGGCTTATTGTGTGGAAAACGTCTGCAGTATAATCAATTAGATGAACTAATTATTTATGTTACCAAAAATTGCATTATAAATCGGGTGAATCATGGTGCTCAAAAGGTTAATATTTTATGATTATTTGGGGCGTTCTCATTCATATGCCGAACGTTTTTTGCTTGTTGTATCGTACCAATTGTCGTGTAATTGGTTTATTAATACTGGTTATTTCACATTCACGCTCACCAGAGATATTGAAATGTTTTGGAAAACAGCTTCACAATCGACTCACGGTCTTCCAAAAACCCATTTCAAATTTCAGATGGTTTCTCATATCACAAGTACACGGAAATTGTCATATAACTGTAATGCCTATGCTGATTGGCTTCTTGGGCAAAATTACAATTTTTACAATTTGATTTTCCGCAAAAAGACTACGAATGCGGCCAAGTGTTAGTGGTTGGTATAATATTGCGCAAACGGATCATTTGGCTTTGAAAAATTGTTGTTGTTTTTTTCCTGATTTGAAGGAGTCTGAAAAACGCGTTTTTCAGCTTATCTCTTATTAAGTTTCACACCGTATTCAAGATGGCGGTCCATTTGGTATTCACTTTATTGTATGCAGACAAATGTAGGTGAACAAATTTGTACAGTGGGTACAATGGAAAGGTTTGATACCTTGTCTTATTAATTACTTCTGGAGAAATGCCACAATAAGAAGCTTGCCGGTATCAGCGTTTGCATTATTGTGCAGATTGGCAAATATCTGCTGCGATGGTTTCATGGAATACAAATAAACAGATAATGTTGATTAATATGTTATAGTTTTATTTTTGTCTAGTAAATCTAAATCGATACCAGCGAATAATGAAAGAACAAACAAACACATCGTGTTATAAATATCGTTAACTATCGCCGTTTATTGCCTTTCTTCATTTGTGAGATTACAGCGTTTCACTTAAGGTTCAAAGCAGGCATGATCTGAAATAAGACATACAATAATTATTTATTTTATTTTCATTTATCATCCGATTTAAATAGCATTCGTCAACAGACTTGGAAGACAGATTGCATGTAAAAAGAACTCACCGTACTCGCATACATATCCCTTCTTTTTTACGCACTTATCATCATCCCATTTCAAGCCTCTTCTTTCCCTAATAACAAAAATAACATGAATGATACTATTTGAAAATAGCATTTTTGACCTAAAAATGCTCACCAAAACTTGAAAATTAAACATATTGTCACAAAATGAACAAACCTGAATAAGGTCTGACTACATACAATATCAAAGCAATCGGGCTAGCATTTACAAAATTGTACTTTTTACCAAAAATGGGAATATATATTCATCAAAATTAGAGATTTAAAGATATCGTAACAAAATGAATAAATTTGAGGGAGTTCTCCAATGGTATACATACCAAGTATCTAAGCAAATGCAAGGTTGACGCCGATGGACGACGGGTGACAACATAAAATCAGTAAAGTCAAAAACAGAGCTAACAACATGGTAAACACACTTATGAATGCTAAGTGATTTCATAACACTTTACCCTAAACCTTGTTATTTATTCGAATGTTATGCCCAATTACCTGATTATGAGTTGTGAAATATTTAACAAAACTGTTTCGTCGTCCAAGTAACACACACAAATACACGAATAAAGGTAAAGGTCACACGAGAAACTAATAATGAAATATACATTTAACCTTGTTTGTAGTTATATGAATCATTCGTAGAGATTTAATATCCCTTCATGTTTCTACAATGGTTTTCTTATTTTGTTTTGTTTATATTCAAAATTATGTTTGTTTGAAATTAAATAGAAAACAATCACTAACCACATTTGTACGCAGTCTTGCTCAGCAGCTTTCAATGGTTTACTTGTCGGTTGATTTCGTGCCCACATTGTGAAATCATCTGGTAATAGTGGCGTACCATCAGACCAGACGAATTGCCCTTCGCTAATAATATCATCGAGCCCAAACCAGAATCCTTTCAGTACGTTACTATATTCATTATTCATAATAAATCTTCTTACCAGATTCCATATAGGTTTCGTATTCAGTTTAGCTAACCGACCATTATTTGCCTCACAGTTTGCTTTTGCAGTGTGCCAGTTAGCCTTATCCAAGTGGACCTTATATAAATGACAACCACTACACACAGAGTCTGGAACTACAGTATTCAAAATTATTTAAAGTAGAATTGATTAGTTACTTGCCATGAATATTATGTGACTAACTGAATCGGACAATATGGTGTTACTTAAATATGATATCAAATTTACGCTTTATTTAAAATCTGGTTGAGACGATTATAAGTTATTAACAAAGGCAGGGGAGGACAACATATTTCATAGACTGTTGTAGTTGCACTATGTGACCAGTCAAAAGTTTGTCTTGCCTGCTATAAATGTGTAATTGAACAATATAAACCTTCATCATTGGAGATTAATTGAGACCACGCGAACTACTGTTAAAACACTGAGTGTGTCCCCTACCGCAATCACTAGCAGGGACAGAATTCACAGGGTACCTTTCAAAACCATGTACACATAAGCCATATACCATCATCACTAAACTTCTGTATTGTAGCACAAACAGTGTACTAAACACAGTAATTAAAGTTACGCTGCAAAGCAAAGAAAAACACCCCCTTGGCTAGGGGCGGGGGATATAGCATAGCCATCAAATGTGCTAGTATAAGTGGCCGCGTTAAATTACTGCCAAATGTGAGTAGAAACAAGTCGCGTGATTGGTTGGTAATCAGCCACCGCATAATCGAATAAAAACTTGACCTGATTTGACCTAGGGTCCTCAAACGTTGACAGACCATGACGAACCACCACTAGACATGGGTGAAACTAATGTATATGCGAGGTGAAATAGAGGAAGGGAGAATTTAAAAATCACGCCCTATATATATATATATATATATTATTTCACACACGCATTTTAGCCGAAATTTGAAACTAACTAAAATATTCGAATAATTCCAAATAATTATTTTGGGAATATTGTATAAAACAGCCTATGTGTTGAAGATATTCTTTTT